ATGTGTCTCACAGGGAGGGCAACATTGGGATTGAACCTGAAGGAACGAACAGGAATTTCCCAGGTGGACCCGAGGGGAGGAGGTTGTAGGGAGAATGAAAATGAGCAGGCCTTGGATGGTATGGTGTGTTTATAGAGCAGTGGACGATCTGGCATAGTGGCAAAATGCCAGCATGGGAGAGCTCCATACGTTGTCCTGGGGATAATAAACAGTCACTCTAGAAAATAATGGCTTAATTTTGGGGGAACTCATCCCTTAGATTTGCTCAGGATGTGATTTCTTTATGGTTTGAGCCTGAACCTACATTTGCATTGGATCGATTATTGTGTTGTGGTTGCTTCTGGCCTAATTGCACTGTCAGGATGTGAGGTCACAGGGGTCTGCCCCTGGCCAGCTTGTGGTCATTTATCAATAGCTCCTAAATGATCAGTCAGCTTCAGCTTGTCCTGTGGTCTGCTAGGTGGGAATACCCAGCCATGCCCCCTGTGAGGGAATGGGCTAAAAAGGGGCCCAGTCATTAGGACTTTGGTTTATTTCAGTGAAATCGGTAAGTACCAACTGAACACAAAACCTCTGGGCAACCCAAACAGGCTTTCTGCTGAAGCTGACCTCAGGGCACCCCCTCAATCCTATACCCACTCCACTCCTTCCTTATTAAAGACTAGTGTATCACATTTCTAAAACCAGGTAATTAGTCATTGCCTGCCTTAAGGGGACACTGCCTTGCTTGCTCTGCATGATAGCAAACAAGTCTTGAAGAAACTTTGTGTCAGAGATAGGAATTCCATGGTCATTTATGGTTGCTTCATTAGTTAGGAGTCTCTACTCTTTTATGAGGAGAAGCATTTTCATTTCTCTAAGTACCTGTTTGCTTTGGCTGGGCTGGAAATTGAAGGTAGTAGGAGGCGTAGAACGGAACAGAAGATGGAGGTGAAGCCAGAGATGCTGAAAGCAGACCCCAGACTCAGGACCTGGGGCAAGTTGGAAGTCCCCAAGCAGAGACAGTGCTGCGCCTGGGCTTTTCCACCCCAGCTACAAATACCCCCACACCTGGTCACAGGAGGACAGAGAAAGTGGTGGCGTTAACTATCTTAGAGGGACATATTGGTAGCTGTATTTTGAAAATTTCAGGTTCATCAACCAGATGAGGAAATTCTGATGTGCACAGTGAGCTTTTTAAAGAAATTTTTTTTTGCTGTATTTCTGACTTGTATCAATTGGACACTCGTATTTGAAAAGTATTCTTTTGGTGTAAATTTCTTAGACTTAAAAAAAAAAGCAAATAAATCTCGAAAGATGCCGCATTATTGTGGGAGAAACAATTGAGACCTAAAGAAAATCCTGATTCCCTGTCAGTGTTCCAGAATTTGTGTGTGTGTGTGTGTGTGGTGGGGGGGTCATTGGGATGTAATTCAGATATAAGGAAGATTCGGGGCCTAGCCCCAGGGGAGATTTTCAGCCATGAGTTTCATCTTCAACCCTTGTTGGCCAAGTGGATTTTCAAGCCATCAGTGAATACTCATGGTAACCAGCACCCCTCAGCTTGCCCAGGATGAGAGAAAAATCCCTCAAAATCAATCATTTCCTGTGGGCCTTTAAGGCTTCTTGTGTGAAAGGCACACATCACCCATGTGGGCTGTTTTCACTTAAAATGCCTGGCTGCTGCTGGTCAGCCCAGGCCCTGGTCTCCTAAGAAGAACGGTTGACCCCGGATGAGGCGGTCCTTCTCACCAGCAGGCTCTGGTTGTTCTACACAGAAACAGGAAGGCTTTTGGGCCTTTGGGGCCTCCCAGTCTAACCCCGTTCATACTGTCTACCACTAGCACCCCCCGTGTGACATGGACAGAGTAACATTGCTGTGTGGTACAGTTGTCAAAGCCATGTTCCTTGCATGGTTAGATGATCCACTGTGTAGATCACCGACTGTGATGAGACTGCTATTCCAGGAAAGTCAATGGCATTGCTAAATGGGACTCTGTCTTTGTATGGTGAACTTAAGAGTCAGTTAGAACTTCTGCTCAGGCCAGCACAGAGTAATGGGGGTTGGATCTACTTCCCATCCTAACTGAATAACTACACAAAATATACGAAACCATGCAGGACAGTTGTCCCTGCAGGAGGGCACAATGGAGGGGAGCCTGGAGAGGGTTTCCAGGACACAGCACAGGGAGAGGACTTGGGTGGAGCCCTGCGGTCCATAAGTCCAGGAGACCAGGATGTGGGAAACCAAAGCAGCTGGAAGTCACCTGGCAGAGCACTGGAGAAGCAGAGCTGCTCAGAGAGAGAGCACCTGCCCTTGCAAGATCTGCGTCACCACCCCTACCTGTCTTCAGCTGGGCATGACCAGCATATCTGTGTGGGCCTGTGCTCACAGAGCACCCAGTAGAAGAACCACCAGGAAGGAACAGGCAGCTCATATGAGCAGGGAGTAGTTCATGCTCCCACCAGCCCGAGTGGGAGACCTTAGGTAGGTACTTGGAAGGGCATTGCCTCAGTAGTAGGGGAAAGCCCTAGACCAAGGGCTGCCCCTGAGGACAAGTCTACAAGTCTTGGAGAAACACCCAGTTCTAGGATAGGCCCCTACATGTATGGGATGAATCCAGAGTATCTCAGAGCACCAGAAAACAAGAAGGAGCTCTAAAATGCCACAGTGCTGAGCTAGGGTGAGGGGTAGTCAACGGGGCACAGGAGCCAATTGAAAAGAGCATCAGTAGCCAGAACTGGTTTGTGAAACAATATAAATAATGTAGTGGATTGTCTGTTTACAAAATAAATATCCATGAGTCCATACTGGTACAAATAAATGATCAATTGGTGAATAAATGAAGAACAGAAAAATCTTCCATACAGAGGATTTATATTCTGCCCTCAAGAAAGTGGACTACAACTCCCCACCCCTTTAGTTAGGCCATGCATAGTAACTTCCTTCCCTGCTGTATGGAAAGGAGGGGGAATGGTAATACTTCACAGTGGAGACACCTGACAGACACTGCCCACCGGCTGACCAAGGTCAAGATCAGCACAAGCCATGAGGATAGTGCATACCCTTACCATGATCCGATGAGAATAGAACTTACCCTCTGTGATCTTCCTCCAAAAAACCCATAACCCAAATCTAACAAGGAAACATTAGCAGACAAATCCCAATTGAGGGACATTGAACAAAATACCTGACCAGTATTGCTTAAATAGTCAGTGTCTTCCACAAAAAAGGAAGTCTGAAAACCCCCAGCTAGGAGACATGATGACTAAAGGCCTGTGGTGTCCTGGATGGGATCCTGGAACAAAAGGGACATTAGGGAAAATGAACAAAATCTGTATCAATTAAAATAATTGATAGTGTTTCACTAGTTGTGAGAAATATACCAGACTAAAGTGAGATGTTAATAATAGGGGAATCTGTATGTGGGGGCAGAAAAATCAGGCCATCCCATGTTTTAAGCTTGAGCTATCCCTTATCCTGTCTCTGGGAGCCTCCTATTTTCCTGTGACTGGCATGTGGGATGGCAGTGTCCTGAGGGAGAGGCTGGAGACTGGGTAGCCAGCACCAGCCTCCATGGCTGCCCCACCTGTTGTTAGCCCTGCTGAGGTTCCATCTCTTCAAAAACTGAAATATGCAATATTCCTGCTTTTCCTTTGAGACATCTGGGGCTCCAAGAAGTGAATTCATTCCTCCACTTACACAGCTAGAATGTGGCAGAGCCAAGGTTCCAATAAAGACCGAGAAGGCTGCCTGACTGCTGTAGCTCCTGCCTCTCCCCCAGCTCCCTGCCCACCTGTCTGAGTCCTTGCATCCTTGCTTCGTGATCCTGAACAGCTCAGCTGCCCTGGGAGAGCACCTGCACTCACTCTGCCCATTCGCTGGCACTGCTGTGGTCAGACACCCTGGCAGACATGCGCTAAGGAATCTGTGACTAACAGTGCTCTGTCCTGAAGCTCCCCAGGTGCACATACTTGTACCTTTAGCATCACCTAACCTGGAACACCCAAAAAAGGTACCTCTAGAATTTTCACTGTCACTTCCATTCAGTGAGTTTTCAATTCTATTTAACTTTACCTGGGACAGGGAAGAAGACAAGCTACATAGCAGTGTACTTGGAGAAACACTGTGCACACAGAGGCGGCAGCATTTGGGTTAAAAATATCAATGTCAGTGTTGTATCTGAACAGAGTAATAGAGTACACAGTTCTATTTCAATTACCAAACCAGAGGGAGCCTAGGAGACAATGCAAGTGAAGTGAAGAAAGCTTTTAATTTTGGCAAGTGATAAAAACATGCACATCCTAGATATTGTAACAGTGAAATAAACTTTTATTGTTGGCTCATTTTTTTGGACATACTTGCTTATCTTACAGATGGAATGAAGGTCTAGAGTCGTTAACATTTAGGAAAATAAATGTAATTAATGTAATTTATTTTTCCCTATAAATGACAATCTCTCACCTTGGCCACAGATGAGATGCATATGCCCACAGAAGTGCAGCATTACTAATGGCCTCAACTGTCCTGCTGTGTCCATGAGGAGGAATTGCTTGTGAATGAGCAGTAACAACACTTAATAGCCCTTCTAAGACAGCTTTCACAGGAACCTTTGATTTTGTTGGTTTGGGGGGGATGGAACCCAAGGCCTCGTGGATGCCAGGCAGGCACTCTACCACTGAGCTGCATCCCCAGCCCACAGGAACCTTTGCATGTTTGCACAAGCTATGGCAGACCTGGTGGTAGTGCTCTGAGCCCATGACCCCTGCCCAGCCGATTGGCAGTCCCAGAGAGCAGAACTGAATTGCATATTGATGTCTCGCTCTACCATGTTTTCCAAAGCCGTGAAATTTTATCCATATGTTTAAATCTCTCCTTGGCTGATTGCCTTGTGCAGTTGATATGTACAGTACAACAAAATTAAAAACATTTTTTAAAAATCTGTTTTGAAGCAAACTTGAATGAGAAAAAATAGTGCAGTTCTGTGTTGAGAGCATATGTGAGGATATAAACCCCATTGTGTGTGTGTGTGTGCGTGCGCCGTGCCTCGGAATGCCATTTATAAAATATTTATCATAGTTTCACTCATTAGGTTCATATAGAGCCTTTGTTATTGAAAAGGAGCCAAAGTACTTTGCTGATTTAGGAGGCCATTGTTGGGGGACCAGAGTGAAGATCAAGGCAGGTGACCATATTAAAATCTAGAGGAAAAGTGGGTGGGTCTATTGACATCAGCAGAACGTGCAGCTACCTTGGGTTGAGCCAGTCTTCTTCCAAAGCCTCCACCAAAGGAAAGGGGCCTGGAAGGGTCATCTGTGGGATTTGTCCTTTGCTGCGCCTGCATTGGTGTCACTGGAGGCCTCTGGCTCAGACTTGATTAACATGACTCTCATTAGTCTCTTCCATCTCTAGCCGTTCCTCCTAACTCTGTATCTGTAGCCTAAAAACAAAAAGAAAACTAAATTACTAAGTCCCACCAAAAAATGATACCTGTTGAAGATAATGCCTTGGTAAGCAGCATCATAAAAATTAAAAAGGACGGAGCCAATAAAACAAATCAGGAGAAGTTAGGAAGGCTTGTGCCTCCACTTGGTGTTCATAATGACTGGGGATTCTGAAGGACAGACTGAGGAAGTGGGCACTCCTGGAGGAGCCGATCTGGGGAAGGCAGACAAGAGCAATGCCTAGTGTTCACTGAGCAGGGTACATGCCACATACTATTCTGAGAGCATTAAATTTATCAACCTCTCTTAATCCATGCAAACTTCTATCATTTACCCAATTTTATATTTGAGGGAATTGAAGTTCAGACTGGTTCAGTATTTTGCTGAAGATCTCACAGCTTGTAATGGTCAAAGCCTACTCACTAAACCAGTTTTCACTTATGATCCATTATATATTAGCTGCATCCTTCCCCACTTTCCCCCCAACGTTCTTTTTTTAAAAATAATCATACATGGGGCTGGGATTGTGGCTGAGTGGTAAAGTGCTAGCCTGCCATGTTTGAGGTACTGGGTTCAATCCTGAGCACCACATAAAATGTAAAATAAATATATTGTATCCACCTAAAATTAAAAAATAAATATTTTTTAAAAATCATATAATTTAGTGGTTTCTAGTTCATTCACAGAGTTATACATCCATCACCATAATAAATTTTAAAACATTTGCATTACCACTCCCATTCCTAGGCAACCACTGATCTACTTTCTGTTCCTGTAAATTTGCTTATTCTGAATATTTCATTTTCAAAGATCATGTAATATGTGATCCCTTCTGACAGTCTTCTTTTACTTAGCATAATGCTTTGGCATGTACCCATCTTTATTCTTTTTATGATTGAATAATATTTTGTTGTCCCATATATCACGTCATTTATCCACCCATCATTTTATGGTCATTTTATGTGTTGCTAATACATTTCAGCTATTATGGATAATACCACTGTGAACACTTGTAGATCAGCTTTTCTGTAGCTACATTTTTTTTTCATTTCTCTTGGGTATATACCTAGGAGTTGAATTGCTGAGTCATCACAGGGCTACTGTTTTTAAGGATTTGATGAACTACCAAACTGCTTCCCAAAGTGACTTCACCTCTGTACATTCCCACCAGAGTGTGTGAGGGTTCAAATTTCTCCATGTCCTCAACTTGTTGTTAGCTATCATTTTTAGTGTGGCCATCCTAGTGGGTATGAGTGTTATTCTGATTTTGTTTTGTGTTTCTGTGATGACTAAGACCACGAAGCATTTTTCATGTCTGTTATTCTTTTGGAGTTAATCCCAGGTGTTACATCATCCAGTAATACCCACATACCTCCAAAAAGTAGGAAGGATGTACTTCAAAAAAAATTGCCACACTATTACTGTCAGTACCTTGAAAATGTCATTACTTGTTTTCCCTGTTTGTTTCATACTTTTTAAAATATATTTGGTTGAATTCAGATTTAAGCAAGGCCCACACTGACATTGGTTGATAATGTTTCTTGAATCTAACTATCTATCTATTTATTGATTGATTGATTGATTGGGGGAGTGGGTACCAGGGATTGAACTCAGAGGCACTTGACCACTGAGCCATATCCCCAGCCCTATTTTGTATTTTATTTAGAGACAAGGTCTCACTGAGTTGCTTAGCACCTCCCTATATTGCTGAGGCTGGCTTTGAACTTGCAATCCTCCCGTCTCCACTTGCCTCTTGGATTACAGGCATGTGCCACCATGCCCAGCTCTTGAATCTCTTTTAATCTGTGAGTTTTCCTCCTACTACTTTCTCTTGCATCACTCTGTGTTTTTTGAGAAAACTGGGTTGCTTTCCATGGGCATCCCTGTTCTGAATTTTGCCAATTGTACCCCCACGGTGGGAGTTAGCATGTGCTTCTGTCCTCTGTATTTCCTACAAACTGATGGTGGAATCCTGAAGCTTGATCAGATTTAGGTTTGTTTGTTTTCATTTTTGGCAAGACTACTTCATGAGAGGTACTTGTACTTTCATATGTCTCTCTTTTTGTGCATTAAGATTGGTCCCTAGATTCAAGTATTGTCAGCTTAATATATTGATTGTAAAATTCACTTGTATTGGTCAGGGTTCTCCAGAGAAATAGAACCAAATAAATATATATATTTGTGAGAAGAGATTTACTAGACTTGCTCACCCAGTCAGAGGCTGGATAATCCTGTGGCGGCCATCTGCAGACTGGAGAGCCAGAGAAACCATAGCTGCTCAGGGAAGAAGGCAGAAGCCTCAAAAGAAAGAAAAAGGCCATTGCTGAAAGCCCCTGCAGGCCCCCTGGGGCAAGTCTGCATTCAGTGACTGCAGAGCCTGGGGTTTGAGGTCCACAGGTGACAGCAGCAGAAAAGCACAACCATTCAAGAAGAGGCAGGGCTGGGCTTGTGGCTCAGTAGTAGAGCACTCACCGAGCACACACGTGAGGCCCTGGGTGTGATCCTCAGCACCACAGGAAAATAAATAAATAAAACCATAAACAATAAATAAATAAATACAATAAGGTATTGTGTCCATCTACAACTAAAAAGTATTTTAAAAAAGAAGAAGAAGAAGAGGAGGAGGAGGAGGCCAGTGCAAGCAAGAGCTGGCTTCCCCCATTTCCACTTTGGCTTTCTGCAGGGCCCCCATCTGTTGGAGGGTGCCACCCACATTAACTTCTGGTCTCCCCTCTTGGTTCTCTGACCCACAATCCAGTCTTCTCTGGGAACATCCTCAGAGGCACACCCAGCTCTACACATCTGTCTACTAGTTTTTACGGCCATCCATGAGCATTGGCTCCACCCATTTTTCTCTAGAAGATCTTGCTTTCCTAATCACTGCAGTCAGATGCCTCCTAAGAAGGCAACAGTGCTCTTTCTGCCATTCAGCCTTTGCCCTCATAATGCAAGAGGGATTGAGGTATCAATAATTAAAGGGACGTTTTGTTTTTATGCTAATTATGTCATAATTTCCTCGGCTCCTCTGTGCTGGACTGTAAACTCTCAAAGGGAAGACATTCATTCTGACTTGTTTACCCCTTTCCCCCAGCACCTGCCACCCCAGCCTGGCCCGTGGCAGAGCTCACCAAGTACAGGTTGAGTATCAGGAACTTCTTACTGCTCTCTTCTGCACATATCCTGTGACACCACGTTGGCAGCATTTTACTGAGAACTCTAGTGACTTTCAGGTGATGCCACTCTGAGTGGTAATACAAGGAAATGGATATAACTTATGGATACACATGAGATTTTTGAAATATCAAATTCAGAATGCAATCTTTAGGGTTGTTGTTTTTTTAGAACAAAAATCTCTTATATCTAATTAAACCAGGAAATATGTAGTCTCCCCGCCATCCCCCACCCTCCAATTTATAGACTGAGTAGCTAATGAGTGAATCTTTTCTACTTAGTTTGTGAAGCCTGTGAAATTTGATTCCCAGCCCAAGGCTGTGTGGCTTCCTATTTTGGAATTGAAAATAAAGTTCTTATTAAATTCTGATATTAAATTCAAGGTAGGTGTGTTGCAGAAATAGAGATATTTTATACAGAATCTTCCAGTTAATACTGAGCCATTGATTCTTGTGAACAATATATGCCTTACCCATCTTCCTGTGGAAGATCAGAGGAATGTTCCTGATTGCTTACAACTTGAAGAAGTCAGAATTTGCATTGTAGTCGGGTCTGAGGTTTGTCTCCTGCCTCGTCCCCTTACCTGCTAATTACTTCATACTTGTCTGGAGGGAATAAAGCTGTCTGTCCCTGAAAGACTCAGAAGCCACCATGGGATTTGGGAAAGAGAAGAACCTTTTTGGGAAAACCCAGAAAAGGCAGTATGAGGGTACACTCAATGCCCTTGTGTGCCAGCATCCTCTCCTCCAAGGATGAGCTTTATGTGGAATCTAGTAGAAATTCTGAGTACATGGCCAGCTGTTGCTGTCATTAGCCAGTCATTGATAGGATACTAACAAAGAACGTGTACATATTTTTAAATAGAGGTAATTCCAAGTTCAGATTCTGCAGCATTATTTAGCATATCAAAAAAAATCAACTTGTAGTTGGTTTTATATATTACAGACCATTGAAAAGTAATCTTGTAAAACACACTATGTTCGCTTTTAGAAAAGACAGCTTCCAAATGTGGCTTCCTTTAATGTGACATAAACCTGTAGTGGACTCTCTGTTATACCACAGAAATTGTCATAACCACAATGTTTCTTGTCTTCTGGAAAGAAGCTTGAGAATCACTATGCTTCCCTACTAAAAACAATGGTTGAATAGTAGTAGTTAAGGTTATTTGGTATGCAGTATTCCTAGATCACCTTACATTCACAAAGTACACTGTCAACAAAATATAACACTATTATAATGCCAGTAAATGAAAGCAATTATGTTAAAATTAGCCTTATAATTATCTTGTGGGACATAGGGCACATGCCTGCAATCCCAGCAGCTCGGGAGGCTGAGGCAGGAGGATCAAAGTTTAAAGCCAGCCTCAGCCATTTAGCAAGGCCCTAAGCAACTTAGTGAGACCTTGTCTCAAAATTGAAAAAACAAAAAATGTAAAGGGCTTCGGATATGGCTCAATGGATAAGTGCCCCTGGGTTCCATCCCCACAGTACTCTCCCACCCCCCAAAATCATCTTAATGTAGGCAAGGTAAAGATTAAAAAATAGTTGCAGACATTCATGTTGATTCTGCAAGAGAATTCTGAGTCCTTCCATTGCATCTTCTCACTAGCATGACTCTAATACTTACTGAGCCATTTTTAAAGCTTTATGTCTCACAAGAATATACACAATAAATAGACTTGGTAGGACCCTGGAGGCTGAGGCAGGATAATCATAAGTTGAAGGCTAGCCCAGCAACTTGGCAAAATCCTCAGCAACCCTGTCCCAAAATAAAAAGGACTGGGGATGTAGCTCAGTGGTGAACTGCCCTTGGGTGGAATTCTTAA